TTCACCAAATTCAGAATAAAAAATAAAATTTAAAAATAATTCTTTTATTTTTATTTTTTTTATTTTTTTTGGCCCGGCCGGGCAAGTGACCCCGGGCCACTCTGGTAGCCTAGGATTTTTTTTTAGCTTTATTTTTTTGTTTTTATTTGGTAAAGAATTTGGATGTGACTCTGGTGGCAAAAGTTGTTCAGTTTGTTTTTTCTGCATAACAATGATAACATAGTTTTTTTTTTGATTTTTTTGATTTTTTTTCCCCTTTGTTTCTTTTGTTTTGCTGAAACCTACTTTGGCCCTTGCACGGCCGGGCCACCTGGGAAAACAATGTCACCCGGGCGGCCCCGCTGGTAGCCTAGACGTACGGTCATTATTGCTGTATTTAAACAGAAAGATGCCCCAAATACAGCTATATAATGACCGTACGTCGTATTCGGGGAAAGAAGGTAGTGATGCTTGGCTTTTGTTTTGATTGTTCAGTGTGTTGTGGTTTGGCTGTACATTCATGACTTCACTTGTTACTAATTTATCATCATATGATTAAGTCTGAGTGAAAGAAATTGCTTCCATACCACCCCCTCTCCTTTTCTCCACAGCAAAAAGGAGTGTTCTCTCTCCTTGTTACCTTTCCTCGCAATGATCCGCCTCCTACGTTCTTCCCCCGAATATAACGTGCTGTCGTTATAGCTGCATTTGGGGTATCTTTCAGGCTAAATACAACTATAATGACCGTACGTTGTATTTTGGGGGAAGAAGGTAGTTTCCTGATGTGCAGCGCTACCGACGTTTCAGTGAGAACACGAAGCAACCTCATCGTGAGTGTATACAACATATCTCTCTGGTTCAGTACATTAATTATGAGGATGCTGCATTTTGGTCGGATGGAGGTGGTAGGTGCCATCTTGAGAAGAAAGACGAAACATGAGAACAGTCCCCGTCTGTGTCCTCCTTTTTCCATATTAGTCGTCCCGGTCTTTGGCCTCTGATGCTTGGAATGTCGAGCTGCAAGTTCAGTCCCCGTCTGTGTCCTCCTTTTTCCATATTAGTCGTCCCTGTCTTTGGCCTCTGATGCTTGGAGTGTGGAGCTGCAAGTCTACAGCATCAGTATGCGCTTCTTACATGTAGTCGATCAGGATTCAAACGTTGGACTTATGAACTGTGTATGGACAGTTAAGTGTGTTTGGTGTACCATGCAGCAGTGACCAGCTGGTACCTCTTTCAGCAGCCACAAAGGTGTGGGTACCCCATTCAGCAGCCATGAGGCCCGTACCCCATTTAGCAGCAACAAGCCGGGTACCACTTACCACTGAATGGTACCACAGAGGGGGGTACCCCGTACAAGGCGGGTACTCCAGCAGCTGCCGCAAGGAGGGTGCCATTTAGTGCTGAATGGTACCCCGGTGAACAGCCACAAGGTGGGTACCCCATCAATTCTGAATGGTACCACAAAGGTGGGTACCCCATTCAGCACCCACAAGGTGGGTACCCCATTCAGCAGCCACAAGGTGGGTGTCATTTAGGCCTGAATGATACCAGAGAGGTGGGTACCCTATTCGGGGCGGGTAACCCATGCTGCAGCCACGAGGTGGGTGGCACTTACCACTGAATGGTACCACGAAGGTGGGTACCTCATACAAGCGGGGGACCACATACCAGGCGGGTACCCCGTACAAGGCGGATACCCCATACAATGCGGGTACGCCATTCTGCATCCACAAGGTGGGTGCGGCTCACTGCCGTACAGGTGGGTACCCCATAGAAGGCTCGAGCACCACATACAAGGTGGGTACCCCATACAAAGCAGGTTCCACATACAAGGAGGGTACAGCACACAACGCGGCTAAAATTCGGTACTGCTTGTATGTGTTGCTTGCAGACTTGCAGTGAGGAGAAAAACTTGTTGACGCTGCTAACCTATGGAACCTAACATGAAAAGTGGGAGTCGGCTGGCTGATCGTCTTGACTTACCACTGTTCTCGAGTTTTGCAGATACAGTTTTGGTCATTGGGAAACTGATCAAACCTCCATGGCCACCCCATAATTATATTGTCTTCTCGTTTGTATACGCGTCATATACATGCATTCATTCGTGCTCATCTCTGTGATGGTTAGTGGTAGTATATCAATCCGGTTATTGTGATTGCCATTTGAAGCAAAGTCACATCGTTGTTCACTTGAGTGGTTCTTGGAGGCTGGCAGGGATCAGCTGCAGCACCTGCCTCGTGGAGGTCGGTTGCCTTACATCTTTTTGTCCTTTTCTGGCGAGGAGATAACTGTGCCTGCCTTTGCCTTCGGAACACTCCATCGGTGCCGGATGTAGCACAGAAATGTGGCCAGGTTCATTTAAAAATGGCCACATGTGCGTGCTGGATTTGGAATCTTCGGTCCCGACTCCTGGGGGATGCCTTTGGCATTGGAACACCTCCATTATCGAAATTGCCTGATCGAAATGGTGGGGAGGGG